AGGTCCTTCTGATACACGAGGCGGGGGCAGACAAGGCTAGTGCGGCGCTGGATGTCAATGGGTAGCTTCAGCGATCCGACAGGTATGCCAGGCATCGCACACGCGGTGGAGCACCTGCTGTTCATGGGGACTGGAAAGTACCCAGAGGAGAACGCCTACAGTCAGTATCTGACACGCCACGGCGGATACTCGAATGCTTTCACATCCTCCACTTCGACCAACTACTACTTCGAGCTCTCATACCCTTCTTCTACGCCTACAAGCAGTCAAACCCTATTTTGAGATATATCACAAACAAATCTAGCAAAGTTCGAAGAAGACTCGCTGCTAGGGGGAGGGCTAAATCGATTTGGCCAGTTCTTCATCAGTCCACTATTCTTGGAAGACACAGTTGATCGCGAGCTCAAGGCGGTGGACTCAGAGCACAAGAAGAATGTCCAAGATTGTCAAGATGGGCGATGGAGGCAGTGGTCATGTAACCTTGTCAACATGACTAATTAGTGTCACTACCTAGTCCCAGGCCCAGCTTGATTGATGGTACATCTCTCACACCCACACATTTTTGATAAAGATGACACGTGGCGGATGATTCAGTTTGACAAAACATTGGTCAATCCAGGCCATCCGTACCACCGCTTCTCGACAGCAAACTGTAAGCCTAGAACTACATGACATGAATAATGCGTCTGGCTATCTCAGAGCTCAGACAGACACTTGCACATACACACAACAATACACTTATACATGAGACCCTATCCTACCATCACCCCTTGCTTACAGAAACTACAAGACTCTACACGATGGCCCTGTAACGTGTGGTGTCAGGATCCGCGACGAGTTCATCAAGCTCTATCCAACGCACTACTCGGCGGACCGTATGAGGTTGGTAGTCCCAGGTCGGGAGAGCTTGGATAATCTGGAAGCATGGGTAGGGCAGATCTTTGCTAAAGTGCCGAACAAAAAACTAGGCCGAAATCGCTGGGATACGCCCGTTTATACCGAGAAGGAACTGCTGACGCAGACCTTCGCCACACCAGTTTTGGAGTCCCAGTCACTAATTAGAGCTTCAATCCGCGTACCGTATGGATATAAGGTTTACGAGTCACAGCCTCCAAGCTATCTTGACTACTTGCTCGGTCATGAAGGGCCTGGCGGTATCCTTGCGCTTCTCAGGGCAAAAGGCTGGGCGAGCGAACTGGGAGCTGGAGGATGCACCCTTTGTCCTGGCTCAGGACTGTCTATATTTTGTTGACTAAGGAGGGCCTATACCGCTACAAGGAGATTACAAAGCTTGTGTTCCAATACATAGGACTCATGCGCGATCAGCCGTCTCAAGAGTGGGTAGTCAAAGAGCAAATGCAGATTAGTCAAGTAAAGTTCCGATTCAAGGAAAAGAGCCCACCCAGCCAAACTACAAGTGATCTAGCAGGCATCATGCAGGAACTTTATGATCACAGGATGTTGCTCAGTGGGCCAGCCACTATCAAGAAGTTGATGCCGAGCTGATTAGCGAAGCTATGTCTTATCTCCGACTGGACAACTTTAGAATGACGATTGTGAGTCAAGATTTCCCAGACAGTTGGAACCAAAAAGAAAAGTGGTATGGCACAGAGTACAAAGTCGAGAAGATACCAGAAGACTTCCTTGCTGGGATGAGAGAAGCATTCGAGAGCAAGAGCCGGCCGGCAGAGTTGCATCTCTCACACAAGAACGAGTTCATTCCGACCCGACCGGAAGTGGAGAAGAAGGACATTGAATAGCCGACCAAGGAGCCCAAGCTTATTCGCCATGACGACAACGTACGCGTCGGGTGGAAGAAGGAAGATTAGTTTTGGGTACCCAAGGCTCATATACACATCTACTTCCGAACGCCTAACGTTAAAGAGGGTGAACAGTAATGGTCTTGCGGATTGCCTAACGTTAAAGAGGGTGAACAGTAATGGTCTTGCGGATTGCCTGGGAGTCCGAGCGCTTTGAACGACAGGGGTATTACTGATTTGCATGTCTAAGAGAAATCAGTTTAGGTCGTAAAAAGCGACAA